AAGCAGACAGATGAGAAAGTGAACAAGAATCGGAATCTCATTTTGTTAGTGTCCGCAGTCAGTGCAAGAGCGTGTCATACTTTCTCTCCAAGCTGCAGTGTATCCCTGCAGACTGAGCAGAGGCTACCTCATGGACATCTGTGTTTTCACGTGGGCGCTACGTCTCTCTCCCTCATTGCTCCCTCTCTCTTTCTCGCGTTCACTCATACTCTCTCGCACTCCCTCCCTTTTCTTGTCCTGAACGGTTTCCATGGAGACAGCTGTGGTCTGCGGAAATGGCCCAGAGCTCGGTCCACACTACAACAGCTCTCTATTAGCACTTGCACACATGCACGCCCTAAGACACCTGCACAAAGATATGCACAGGACTTACTTACAAACAACATAACAACTTTGCATATTTTCATTTATTCATTCATAATATATGCAAATAATACATAGTTTGCATGCTTTCTATAGCTGTTCCTCAGAAAACAGTGCTCGCATGCTTTAGAACAAGCCCTCATCTGCACTGCTGAGGGAAGCAGAGATCTGTAAAAGCCCCTGCATCTCTGCTTCTGCTCCACTCTTACCCCCCTCTGCAGCTTCGTGCAGTGTGTGTGGGCTGTCTTTTCTTCCCACTATCACACAGTGGAGATTTTATCCCTGTGATAGTATGTGTGTGTGTGTGTGTGTGTGTGTGTGTGTGTGTGTGTGTGTGTGTGTGTGTGTGTGTGTGTGTAAGTAAGAGAGCCTCTGCTGACCTTGAGGAAGGAAGCTTTCATCAAAGCCTCGAGACGTTAGTCACATCTGAGAGGACAGCTGTGTCAGGCTCGACTGCTAGCATTCAGATTCCAAAATGTGCTGCTGGAAATCTACTCTGCAGCCTCGATCGATACACACACGTTAACTCATGCTATGATTGCTTAGAAAGTCTGTGAAAACTAGGGTCAAAGAAGGTACCATACCATACTGTATGTACACAGAGTACCACATATATACTCAGCAGCCATTTTATTAGGAACACCGGTACACCTGCAGCAGCACAATAAAATCATGCAGATACAGGCTGGCTTGAGGATTTCAAGAAAATAAAAAATCTTCCAGTGGGCTAACTCATATAACCACTCTTTACAAGTGTGGTGAGCAGAAAAGCATCTCTGACCACACAACACTTTGAACCTTCACACAGATGGTCTACAAGAGCAGAAAAGGCTACAGTGCACACAGGCTCACCGAAACAAATTACAAAAACAACTAATAGGCAGTTATCATAACTTTATTCAACTTAACAATGGCCTTGAATTTGTACACACTTTTTTTTTTTGTATTTTGTTTTTGCGCACTTTTTTTTTTTTTTTTTTCCCCTCTTTTTCACCCCTTTTTTCCCCTTCCCCCCCTTTCCTTTTTTTTTTTTTTTCTTTTTTTTTTCCTTCCTTTTCTTTTTTTTTTTTTTTTCTTTTTTTTTTTTTTTTTTTTTTTTTTTTTCACCCTCCCCCCTCCCTCTTTTTTTTTTTTTTTCCTTTTTCCCCCTTCCCTTTTTCTTCTTTTTCTTTTTTTCTTTTTTTTCTCCTTTCTTTTTTTTTTTTTTTTTTTTTTTTTTTTTTTTTTTTTTTTTTTTTTTTTTTTTTTTTTTATTTTTTATTATTATTCACACCCCCATTTTTAATCCATTCTTTCTTTATATTTTTTTTTTTTCTTTCTCTTCTTTTTTTTTTTTTTTTTTTTTTTTTTTTTTATTTTTTTTTAATTAAAAAAAGAATTTCAGCTTTCATTTCATAATATTTACACCTATCACCTCATATTCATCTTTTGATCTCAAACCTGTATGCCTTTAGTGTATAGCAAAAACAAAAGAATCAACCTTGTCATTCCAATACTTTCAGTGGGGACTATGTATAGCATACTGAAGTGCCATGTTGAGGGAGTAAAGAGATCTAGTGGTGTTTGGAAGCATTAGTCATAATTCTCATTAGACATGATCCCTCGCTGTGAATAATCAGCTGGGTCACTTGATCAAGGGTATGTTTTTACGTGCAAAGATTTTCAGCAATCGGAAAGAATTTATTCCAGTCACAAAGAGACGTACAGTCTCACTGCTTTCTCTTCAACTCTCCCATGCACCATGCCCTGAAAACTGCACTCACATTTACACAACCAGATTGGGTTTAAAACCATTATATCTCCCAAGATAAACTCTCATCCTTGTGAAATGGCAGCAGTGTGTTGGGGCAGCCCGTGTGATGATGTGCAGGTTCAGGAAAAGCCGAGGAGGAGGGGAAAGGAGGGAGAGGACGAGGCACTTATCTTCTTCCATCTGGGAGGAAGTCTTGGGTAGAGGGGTGGGGGTTCCTCAAGCTAGACATGAGGACCGGTAGAGTGGCTGATTCAGCGTATACAATCCAAGCTATTATAAGTGAGTGGGTCCACACAGTTTTTTGTTTTTTTTTTACTTTTAATGTCAGGCATTCTCCCCTTACCGATCGCAGCAATGAGCAATCGGCTGCTGAGATACAACAGATGCTTTTTAATGGAGGACAAGACATACGAATATTGTTTTGTTTAAATTACAATACAGAAAGTGTTTGTGAATATATGTGGTGGCGGGAGGATGGGGTGGATGAGGGTGAAAGGGGTTGGCACAGGGTGGGGCTTCAAAAGGATCAGAGCGTCATTTGGGTTACATCTATCTTGTGGTTTGTCTCCACTTTTTGCTAATGGGCCTTACACCATATTCAATTTATCACACATGTCCTTCACATGCAACTTGTCTTCAGTCTTACAACTCCTACATGCCAAACTATGTGCCGTCTGTTGTTTTTGTGGTTTGTCCTGAAATTCTAGCCTAGTTGACCCTCGTTCATGCCTGTCGGAGCCTATGTTGTAAAATCAGCATCAGAAGAGAAAGAGTTCTAAGTAAAACAAGACTGAAATATTCAAGCATAATGTTTAAATCATGACCAGAGCATTTCAGTTCGAAGCAGACTATTCACAGTGATATATGTGATATGTGATTGGTAGCTGGCCAGGACCTAGAGTCAGACTGCATCCTAACAAACTAAAAGTTACCCTCCACTATAGCTACTGGTACTGGTACTCCAATCATTTTTCTTCTGTACTATTTAGTACCACTCCACTGATTTTTAATATTTATTATTTCATTGTTTCACTCTTTACAAATACAGACTATTGCCTCCTCCTGGTGTGGAGAATGATTCAGTTCATTCAGATACAGAAAATATGTATAACCCCGATTCCAAAAATGTGGGATGCTGTGTAAAATGTAAATAACCTTGTACATGTAAATGTAGCCTTTTGTTACCCCCATCTCAACTTTTGAGACGTGCTGCAGCCATCAAATTCAATATTACCTTATTTTTTCTTAAAATGGTTTGCGTTTCCTCAGGTTAAACATTTGTATATGTTTTATATGTTCTATTGTGAATAACATATGGGTTTATGAGCTTTGCAAAACATTGCATTCTGTTTTTATTGACATTTTACACAGCGTCCCAAATTTTTTGGAATCGGGGTTGTATATATCAGCATTTCAGAAGTTATCTTTTTCAGTCTTCTGGCAATAGTTCATCGAAGTCAGCTTGTTCTGTCATGGCCCTCGGAGCTAGAGAGCTGTTCAGCAGGGAAAATGAAACAGGCACGCCCTGTTGTTGCTCCCATGTTGTGATTCTGCAATTAAGCATGCCAGCCTATTGCAACACATCTCTGTTTATCACAACATTTCTCCTTTTTTTCTCTGTATCCTTGTCTCTGCCAAGTTCCTTCTACATATGCCAACTTGTCCACTCATATATCTGTGCGGTTGTATAAATGGGACTCCTCAGTTTACATGAATGAACTCCAGTGACTTAACTTTTTTATCTCACCGAAATACACATGCACGCACGCATACACACATACACACGCACACTCACACTCAAAGGTGCCCAAGCTAAGAACACAAGCAGATAACAAGCCACGTCTTGCTTAGCAGAGTGGGAAGGGTGTTCTATGACCCACACCCGGAGTTGCTGCAGATCTGTCATTACCACGACACTATTGCTTGCTGCAAGGAAGCTGTCAGACACATTACCGCATGCATAGAAATATACATTCGCACACCACACACATTCGCACACACAGTTTAGCTGCAATGTGGTCTTTGAAGTTGTCGAAGTAGAATAATCTGCTGAGTAGCATGACCTGTTGCGACATGACCCTCCTCCATACACACATACACACCTTCTCAGTGGTGACACTGGAGATTGGAGAGGGCAGAGCTGGAAAAGGGCCCATGACACCATATAATCATGACTCATAAGAAACATTATGGAATTCTGTACTCTTCCTCTCTTCGTTCTTTTTTTTTTTTTTTTTTTTTTTTTTTTTTTTTTTTAAATCTTTTTTAACTTTTTAATAAAATTACTCTTTTTTTAAAAAACTTATGATAACGTACTTTACGGAATGACATCATGTTGTTAGTAGAGACACAGTAATCGGCAAATCTTCAGCACATAGGCACATCATGATAGAGGTTCGTTTAAGGAAGCCCTTATACAGAGACTGTTATGGTCCTCTATCTTGTGTTCTTATCTGATTGGAGATGCTTTGCTTAAGGGCACAACAATAGTGGGGCCCATGAGAGGGATTTAAGCCTGTGGCCCTTGGGCCAACAGCCATTTTGTTCTTATCTGGATCAAGCACTTGCCTCATAGGTTGCAGGTGTGTGAATTTGATGTAGCCTTTAATAGATACAAGGCCTATGAAAATCTTGCTTTAAGGACCGGTCTATAATGAACCATTTTAATTATCAGAAAAACATTGACTTGTTAAAATATGAGTACACTACTAGAGTTTGTTAGAGGTTTTAGATAGAGAATTCACACAGACTGAATGATTTCCTTTCCTTTCATGTATGGCATTTGGTAGACGCCCTTATCCAGAGCGATTTACATTTATCTCATTTATACACCTGAGCAGGATGGGGTTACAGGGCCTTGCCCAAAGGCTCAGTAGTAGCAGCTTAGCAGTGCTGGGATTTGAACTCACATCCTTTTAATCAGTAATCCAATGTCTTAACCACTGATCTACCACTGCCCTAGCTTTCCTTTCTTCTCCTACCGTTTCCTTCCTATCTTTCTTTCTTTCTTAGTTTTTATTGTTATTTTATTCATATTTCATAGTCCTATGCACGTTATACAGTGTTGCCAGTTTATGAGGTGCACCTTCCTGCTCATTGGTCACATGGTCCACATATCATGTAGACACACTGTAGGTATATGCTTACAGCCGTGTTGCCACCTGTTGCTTTTCAGCATTTTGCCAGCCCCCCTGTACCTTGTTCATTAATGAGAACATGACCTCATGTTTTTTGGGTGATGAACAGCAGTTTTTCTGGGAACATCTGACCTCTAATGCTTGGCTAAGAACACCAAACAAAAATATCCAACAAGCAAATGACTGTACTAATACATTTCCTTGGGCACTGTTCTTATTTCCTTAACCATTAAATCATCAGAAATACACACAACCAGTACACACAAACACACATATTGCTTCACATGTACATATAGAGATACATATTAGGTCATGATAATAATGTACCAGCTAATAATGTTCTCACCTTCGAAGTAAATTCACCATTTCCATAGTTAAGATGGGCTATTTTTTTTTATAAATAAAAAATATTAACATTATGTATGACATCTATTAGTCAGTATATATAAGCGTAGATAAATTCAGAAAAAAACTTCACAGATACTTCAGAGTAGTTTTTTTTCCATATTGGTTAGTTTAACTTTCCTTAAACTAACCAAGGCAATTTCCTAAAAGGATATCTTTACTTTTTCATTCATGTTGAGGTTTGTGTACTTTATGCATCTACTGGCCTTGACTGTGAGTGTGTGCGTGTGTAGGGAAGCAGTCAGCTTAACTCAGCTGTGTGCACGTGTAAGATTTCTCTCCAGAGACTGCTCACGATACTAGCAGGGACACGCTGGAACTCGCTTACAGTAGAGGGTGGGAGACAACAAAAAAGTTGAATGTGAGCGTAGGAGGAAGGGGAAGTAAAGTGAACGAGGTTGAAGAAGGGGATGCGGCCCTGCTTGTTCAGAGAGTTTTTTATTTTATCACTGCTTACCTGGAGATCTAAACAGACTTCCTAGATGATCATTCCGGTTTTGCTGCACCGTCATAAAAGGAGAGTTCATTTTCCTTGGAAGTTTCTTGGGAGCGTATGAGAAGCTGGTTTGTTCAGTGGTGTCTGGTATGTTGGCCTAGGCAAAGGTATCAGAACGCGGGGCAATATCTGGACCCTAAACACAGAGGGCATCATAAATGTCTGTGACCTCTGACCTGAGGCCATGGTGGAGGCTCAGAAGGGCAGGTGACCAGGAGTGGTCTGAGCAGGAGCTTTGCTGGATTCCCTCTCCAGCCTCAGGACTCGTCATGCTTATCTGAAGCTTTCTGTCAGGGAACAGTTGTCTGACAGCAATGGGAAATGCCTCTGTTGCTCCCTCCTTCTCCTTCTATCCCTCCCCTTCTCCTTCTCTTTCATTTACTCATGCTCTCCCTCCCTTTCCCTCTCTCTCTCTCTCTCTCTCTCTCTCTCTCCACTGTCGTCTCTTGCGTGTATTCTCTCTCTGTCACAAGTAGGTGTTTCCCTCATGATGGGACCGAGTGTATATAGGGCACGAGCGCTCAGACAAGTTCAGAGTCTTAAGCACACCTGCCACACGCTTCCCTCTTAGGACTATTGCTGATTCTCATTACTGCCCAAGTCTTTTCCCCTCTGAGTGGATTTATATTTTTTCAACACCATCATGTCAGAGCGAAGAAGGGAAGGAGAAGAAAGGAAGAAGAAAGATAGGAATGGGAGGAAAAAAGGAAAAAAGGAGCGCAAGGAACAAAACCGTGATCTTACTCAAGGTAAAGAAAGACGCAACACGCAAAGGTGTGAGTGTGTGGATGTATGCATGTTCGTACGTGTGCTGCCAATAAGGGAGGGGTGTGAGACTCAATGGGGAAAATCTTACACCTCATATTGTCAAAGCTTGCTGCCTGCTTTTGTCACACAGGAGGACTTCCTAAATGGCAACGCGTAGCGTCACATCTAGCCTCCTTGGCCTCTGGCCTTGTATCGGTGCATAAGTATGTGTTTGCGGTGTGAGCCTCAGTCTGTGTGCTTTGACACGCAGGGACCTCCCTGCTCCCCCGCAACCGGATTTGCCAAGTTGTTTTACGATTTTCACAGTTGATTCCTGTGCTTGGTATCTTAATTAGCACTTGTGTTGCTGAGCCTGTGTGAATTTCTTCTTATGCTTGCAAGCCACCTGGCAAGAGCTACTATTGATTCATTTCCATGCTGTATCTGAAGGAGGCTGCACTGCTGGGCATCTGCAGCTAATACTGCTCTTACTGCAGTTAAACTCTAGATATACACTTACAGTGTCACTGCGGTTACTGTTTGAATGAATGCTAGTCTCTAAGAAGCTCATGAACAGCTAATGGAGTGCAACATACTTGTGTGGTCTATCTCAACGTCTGTCTAGGGTTCTGCAAGCCTCAGCTTGTCACTGCAGTCTGATCTTGGGGTCATGCAGGAAGAGAAATTCTCACAACTATCACATACTCTGTGACACTCACTAGAGGATCTTCTGTGTAGGACAGAATTTTTGGACATGACTAAGTTTCTACACTGTGATCACACTGCAGGAATTTGACAAAAATGTTTTAATCATGTTTTAATACCATGATCTGTCAACACACCCTCTAAACCTTTCTGTGATTGGTCAAAATGCTTGCACAACAAAATTTTGTTAGAAAGAGATCATGTACATGTACATGAATCCTTTTGTAATTTCAGCATTGCAAATACCAGTAATGCACTAACGATTAGCAAAAAATCTATTGCACAACCCCATACTTGTGTACATCTTACTGAGGTGTGGAAACACAGATTGAGGTAGCAGGTCCCTCGGGAAGTCATCATTAGTCCTCTAAGCATTTACCTTGATCCAAAATTCCCACATTAGGTTAGTAAACCAGAAAGGCATGGCATAGTATTGTCTTCCACTGTTCCCCTCCTCCCCATCACCATCATTTCCAGGATCGTCCATGAGTTCTCTCCCTTCATGGGAGGTTTCCTTTTTGCTCTGTCGCCCTGAGGCTCTGCTTCGCGTGACCTCCTTGATAAAGTGCTTTTATTATTCCGGACACTTCTCCTGTTATTTCCTTCTTAAATGTTGTAGACTGTGTTGTCTTTACACGCAACTGTAATCTAACACAAGGGTGTGTGAGGAGCCACTTTTAGTAACCATGCAGCTTTCTCTCCTGGATCTGTCTTCACGCAATACTAATCTCTTGTGCTTTGTCTACTGGAAACAAAGCAAAGTTAGGAAGAAAAGAATAACTGGGAGATTCAGCTTTTCCTTGGAGGCTAAGGTTAACTCTGTCACATGCATTGCTTTTCAGCATCACATTTTTATGCACTGCTAAATTTAACTCACTTGATGTCAAAATAGCAAGTAGGAAATCATGGTGATTGACTCATTTAGCCCTCAAACTTAGAGATGGGGAAAAAAAGGTTATGTTGGAGAAATATGTGAGCACTATGGCCTAAATAAGATTTTTGATGTGGGCTGTTGGAATAAGGTTGTGATCAGTATCTGCTATAGATTTTTAGATTGTGGTATATTGTGATATCTGTCATGGACTGCTGTTCCTTTTCCTTCTTTGGCATTGAAGTGTACACATGGTGGTTTAGTGGTTAGCACGACATGCCTTGCACTTCTGGGGTTGGTAGTTCAAATCCCACCTCCGTATGCGTAGAGTTTGCATGTTCTCCCCATGCTTTGAGGGTTCCCCCTGGGTACAAAGACATGCATTGTAGGCTGATTTGCATTTCCAGTTTGTGTGCTTGTTCCCTGTGATAGGTTGGCATCACCTGAATTCCTTGTTCAGGATGCTCCAGGCTCTCCCGTGACCCTGTGTAGGATAAGCAGTAGGGAAAATGGATGGATGGTTAGGCAGGTAATTTTCATGAATGGACTAAATTTTTAGATGATCCATAATTGTTCAGGGTCTGTAAAACCCATTGAGACATGACTGTGATTTTAAGTATCATAAATCAGTGACTTGATGTTCACTGCTTGAGTTGTTCTTGAAAGCCAAAACAAGATTGCAGATGTAAAATATTCCAATAATGGATGTTTTTTTTTTACCAGCAATTTGCTAATATTATTTCCTTGGTTTCTTTTATTGACGTAATTTATTGTTTACTCCATGATATATTTATTATATAAATATGATCTCAATTGGGCATAGTTTAAAGACTTAACTACAACTTTTTAAAGTGATATATTATACAGTCCAAACTTTGCTGGCACCTAATTCATAACCCTTGAACATTCTCTCTGTTTATATTTAGTTTACTACAGCATTTATAGACTTCTTTTTCTCTGTTGTACCCATCTGGCCCAAATTTAGCAATGTGTGTAAGAAAGTGCAAAGGAAGTCGACTCAAAAGTGGTTAGAGGTCTCCAAGGTACTGTAAAGCACAAGAGCATTTATTGAATTTAACATTGGTTAACACATTCTCCTCACACCTCCAAGGTTGCGTGTTCAATTGCTGCTACAGCCTTTTGTGTGCGGAGTTTGCATGCTGTCCCTGTGCATGCTGTGGTTTTCTCCAGGTACTCCAGTTTTTCCCCCCAGTCCAAAGACATGCATGGTAGGCTGATTGGCATGTCCAAAGTGTCCGTAGTGTATAAATGGATGTTTGTATTTGATTGTGCTCTATATACTTACTTATTACAGACATGATAATTACAGACATGAAGAACGATAGATGTGGCTTGGAACTGTTAATCGGATTCGGTGGGATGGTGGGGCGGCACCCCAAATTTGGTGACACCCTAGGATTGACAAACCTTGATGTCTCAGATGGTCTTAATCTGTCATTGTTTTCATTGTTTTCCACTTTGGTTTAGTGGAAGGTATTTGACACTGACGTGATTTACAGGAAGCAATCCAGGTTAGCCCACATTGCCGTATGATGCCAAAAAACACAGAACCTCCTTAGGCACTGTTCCTCTGTTT